GGATATTCTTGGATTCCACTCGAATACTTCGAACGAAAGTAGTTGCCGAAATGAATCAATTCGTAGAAGGAAGTGGGATGCTGCGATGCGTGCATATCTTTTTTGTCGATTTTCTTTTTCTTTTTAAACATGTTTTTTTTTTTCTTAAATGTGTTCTCTTTTTTCTTTAAATATGTTTCGACCTCTCTATTGTTTATGATCTTAAATCACGCGAGGGATAATCTATGTCTATCTGATTTATTTAATATAAGGTATTTTTCGGGATTCTCAAAAGTAATCGTAGATTTTACTAGAATCGTTGTCTAGGGATCGATGTATAATTTGACAGGTATTGACTACGTGTTCCGAAAACCGCTTACTCAGTTTGTTCTCGGTCAGTTTATCCTCTCTCTCTCTTTCTCTTTTTCTCTCTCGATCCCAGATCGTCGTGTTTTTCTCACTCTCGGCTCATTCTCGGCGCGACCGGGCGTAAACAACATCGTAAAGTCCCAGTAGATCGAGTTATTCTCCTTACTTCAAGGCCCGCGCGCCTTTTCAATCTCAATAGATACTCGGCGTCATGAGATCTTCGATCTTGGGCATTTATATGCGCCATTGTTCGCGGGACCATCATTCGTGATCATAGATAGACAGATAGAGAGATTGAAACAGATTCACGGGAAAGATACGCTTCTGCCGTTTTACCTCCTTCTTCCAATCATCACTTCTGTCATAGAATAAAAATGTTCAAGCTTTCGACGCCTTGAAATCCGCAGTTTGCGAATCTCTTTGGCCATAGAATATTCGAAGAGACCCGAGTAGCTGCACATCCTGAAATTCGCAGGTGTTGAGACCCCTGAATCCACAAGCACAGATCCTAAAACCCGCGATTTGAAAAAGAGAAAACCTAGCGAATCCCAGAACTCTGAATCCTAGATTCCGCGAATGCTGACACTTTTAGCTCCCGTTTTCTCCCTCTCTTTTCTCTGTCGCTCTCTCGCTCTCTCCTCGGCTCGATCCTAACGAACCCAAAGCTTCTCCCGTCTAATAACCGACTCGCTAACGACGCTAATGGTCACTACGAACGCTCTGCGTCGCTGCTTTCTGCCCAGAGGGAAACCATGGAGTCCTGGCTGAGCGACGTTCAGCGCGTGCGAATCCCGCGGCCCAAGTTCGGCAGCGGCAATTCCGTGCGGCGGTCGAACTCGTCGGTGCAGCACGTGCGCTCGGAGATGCACTCGCGGCAGGGTCAGGATGTGGCCAAGGCCACCGAGGAGCTGCGCCAGGCGCTCCAGGACAAGCTCTGACCGACCGGCCGCTCTAGGGGACGAGAGCGCGGAAACACTTCACGTACCTTGTTCGCCATCTTTGTACCTGCCACCAAGAGAACTTGCTCGATGACGACAACGACGACGACGACGACGACGACGTTGTGAGAACAAACTTGAATCGTCGTTCAACTTTCTATTGTAACGAGGAACGTTTCTTGAAGTTAACGTCGTGTCTCGTGAGGTTCTTCCGTCGCGAATCTGAAGAGAGAATTCTCTCTTAGCAGTTATCTCTCCCGTGCCTTGAAATCTTGCCGCATAGATTAATAATTCCTTGAGTCTTTTTTAAAGTAAAGTTTGCTGTCGGCAGAAATCCAAAGTTAAATTTCGTTACATTAGGCTCGAACTTCTCCAGGTAAAGTCGAGTTTGGACTTCTTATTAATTCTGTTGCGAAGTTCCTCTCCGGAGGTAGCCGAAGAACAAGTTTTGCTCCTAATTAGCGAATCGTTGATTTCCTTTGACGCGTCCCCGAATTACCTTACTAATTCCGGCTTGATAATACCTCTGTGATCGTGAGAAAGAGAGACTATCGCGAGGAAGAGTCGCAGAGGCTCGGCCTGGAGCCTGAAGAAACGTTCGGCGAATTAATAGAAATCGAGGGCGATTCGATCGTCGTTCCGTCGTCGAGCGAGCGAGCGTTTACCGAGGATTTTACGAGAGTCACACTATCACTTCGCGCATCTCGGCGGGTTGGTCGGTCATGCGGAAGAATGAGTTGGGCGTCGGAACGGCGAAGATCAGAACGAGGACACGTCGGCAACACCTTGGAACACATACACACATTCTTTCTCTCTCTCTCTCTCTCTCTCTCTCCCTTTCTCTCTGTCTTCATTCCCCGCGCTACCGATCGATCGTAGTCGTTAGGTGCAATTAGTCGAGAGGCGATTTGACAACGTCCTCGTCCAAGCTTCTGTCGAGAGAATCTCGAACGCGGAACTTGTTCGCGATGGTTCGTAGCGTGAGTCGCGCGACTCGCCAGTCGCGTTTTCTCGACACCCTCGAAACACCGCGGCCTCAAGAAGAGGAAGAGCTGATCATCATGCCGTTTCCGATCGCACGCGGTGTGTCGCGGTCGACGATAAGATCGCCGAGAAGGAGACAGAAAGAAACGGAGAGGAGACAGAGTCGCGTCTTCGGCCAGACACTGTAGCCTCCTAATTAGCGTGTAATTATTAATACGTAGCCTTGTACGCACAGCACAGAAAAATAAGAGAGGAACAAGAGAAAGCAAAGTATTCCTATATAGGAAAGTATATAATCGTCGTTAGTCGTAATTAATCATTAAGTCAAGGACCGGATATCATCGATCGTTCATATGCGCGCGATTTTAATTGGTAGACCGATGTCGAGTCTCATTATTTATGGCGATTCATTATGCACGATTGTATCATCGCGCATCGTATCATCGATATCACTCATCGGTTCGTCGACGTGAAGACATTTTTCTTTCTTCTTTCTTCGTAAAATGAGAGAGAGGGAAACATGAAAACGCGCATCCCATCTGAGAATCGTTCTTTGTTTTTTTACGAGGAGAATAAAGGCGAGCCGAAAGTGCTTGTACATCAATCGTTGTCGTTGTTTTAATGATCGACCTGAGCTTCGACTAAGACCCTGCTCCTCGTTCCCCGCGACCACTCCCTGTCACTCCCCGATTATGATAATCGCGACGAGCTTTCCTTGTCGTGGAAAGAAATTGATCGCCGTAATCGACACGTGAGCCGCTTTTAAGCCACCTGCGACTGACTAATAGCGCAAGCTCATTAATAGAAACGAGCGGCCTTAATTAATGGATTCTAATGAGACGCGCGTCTGCTCTGCGCTCCTGCTTCTCCTTCTTGTCCGCCCCTACTGTTCGTCGTCCCATTTCAGAAACAGCCGCCGTTTGCAGGTAAATTATGTAACGCGCGCGGGTTTCTATTGCGTGACCAGCAGAAGGGATGCCGGAGAAGTTCCGCGGATGAAAATTTCGCGATTGCTGAAATATGGATGCGACGTCACGGCGACGGTGATGTTATTTAAACGCGGGGTGAAACTGCAGGACGCATCGCGGATTTTACATCGCGCATTAACCGCGGATTCCAGGCAGGTTTCGTTGATTCACTTGACGTGAATTATTTCGCAATATCAGTTGATTATTGGTTATCGGTGATTTATTAAAACGCCACGAGCCCGTGGCGTTGATTTATTAAGCGCGACTGTGTCGCGGAGGAGAGTTTATATCCGGCTGCATTTAACCCGTTGAGAATTGCGTGCTCGGTGCGCATAAGGAGTTTGACTTTCGTCAGGTGCATGTCAGCCCTAAGTAAGAATAGACTCTTAATTTGATGTTTATCGTACGCGTGGGAGTGAGATTCAGAAAGGAACAACCGTGTCCGCTACGCGTCTCCGTTTCGCGCGGCGGGAAATTGCGTCCGAATAACTTGGCGAGAATCGTGATTTTTTACGTTTCGTCTCGCCTCGGGTGAAATTTCCGGCTTCGCCGAGTCGCGAGCGGCGAGAGGCTTGTTTTAATCCGACGTTATTAGGGGGACAATCTGCAGAGGATTTTCAGAACGTAGAACGACATCGTCGTGGCATCGATCGCGGGGGATGATGAGCGCGCGCTAACGGGCAGAGGCAAGGCTAGAAGTAGCGAGACCGTGAAACACGGCTTCTACATTCCTTTTAGTGCTGTTTGCTCCGTCGGCTTATCGGGAATCCTCCATTGGGCGCCGTCTTTCTCTCCCTCGCAATAAGACGAGCACAGGCGTATTATGAGGGCGAAGAAAGACGGAAGGAGACAATCGGGCTGCGCGAGACCAAGTGTACTGAGTGTTCCGTGAACACTCCATTCAGCCGTCTCTCTCTTCTCTGAGATTATATCTGCGATATCTGTCGATTGATTTTTGAAGACCTTTTCCTCCTCGGTCCCGAGAAGGATCGAAAATGATTCTCTCTTCCCTCAATTTCCTCTCTTAAGTGAGGGAGAACGAAGGGAACCTTCGGGAACTGCGCTAAGCTCTCCGCAGGCAGCACGTGCTGCGGCAGTGAAATTTTATTCTTGTTTAATTTATTTTGGGAAATGGATTTTCTCTGTATTGTGAGAGATAGACTTCTCTTTGAGAGATATTTGAGATTTTGGAGGGATTTCTTTTTTCTTTAAAGAAAAAACTTTTTATTTTGGGAAACAGATTGAAAAGATACTTTATATTGAGTATTACAGCCTAGTAGACAGATGATGGCCTGTTTCGACGTTTTCAGGCTCGCGCGCTGGAAAATCGCTCGCAAACGCGTCATAGAGACAAAGGGGTGATTCTCGGAATATTGTGCATCCTGTGTGCCGTGTCACGTCGTGATTTTACCTCCGCGATGCGACTTTTCGACGAGATTGCCGACAACGATTTATAATTTCCCCTCCGGCACGTTGATTAACCCTTTGAGAGGCGGTTTTTGCTCGGTTGCTCGCTCTATCTCTCGAGGTCTTTGAATTCCTCGATAGTCGTATTTCTCATCGAGTGCTATTTCGATGTGGTATATTATACAGCGGCTTTCATGAAACGTGCATCGCGCAGGTAAAGCGCCGAAGCGCGTTTTCAGCTTAACCTTTCAGTCACCAACGTTGAATATTCTCGTGCTAAAGTTTGATATTAGGTATCAGGTTCCCCTGTGAAATCAAGTTCTCATCGTTCGCGTGCGCTTAATAATTGAATATCGGTGTACGCGATGCGAACGAAATAAATAAATAAACGTCTCTTTCGCTAGAATTTGCCTCTTTTGCGTAGAATTTCAGGTCAAGATCCACATTTTCATGTGAAATTACATTTCTCCCTCTCTCTCTTCCTCTCAGGAAGGAAAGAGAGAGAAAAAGAGAGAGAGAGAGAGCCTTATATATTAATTGATCCATCGCGAGTAATTGAGAATCGCCGATCGTATCTCGAACGAACTACGAATAGACCAGTTAGGAGTACCTTAATAAAGCAACTAATGATTTGTTAAAATTATATTGCCGTTGCGGCAGTTATTAGACTGCGTTCGGATAAATATAGATATCGGCAAATATAAATCCTCGGGCACACACACACACACACATACACACAAGAATGACGTTCCCTCCTCCTCCTCTTTCTCGAAGCGCAATCGGAATAACGACCTCGGGCAGAGCATTACAGCGAGCTCTCTCGTCACTATTATCTTAATTATATCGGGCCGGCCTTGGCATTGGCTTCTGATTCTTTCCGAACATGGTCGTTCGTCCCGTGCAACATACTCTTTCTCTCTCTCTTTTTCCCTCTTGATTATCTCGATTGCACATCGCCTCCACTCTCTTGCGTGCAGCTCGTCTACACTTTTTCTCCCTTCTAGTGCGATAACGCAAGATTGAGAATTGGCGGCGTGAAGGGGAGATAACTCGCGAAATTTGCAAAGACTCCTATTCATATTTGCGAAGAAAGAGATCGCGAGTTCCTGCACTGAGAACGAAATATTTGTGACTACAATCATACAGAGAAATAATTGTTATAAATCGTGGCTTTAAAAAAATAATTTTTTTAAAAATATATGTTCTACTGTAATAGAAACGCGATAATGACCTTATACGCATGCCACCACTACCAGTTTGCGTAAAAAATACGGTTGGGACGAAGAATAACTGTAATTTCAGTTGAATCAACTATTTCTTTCCTTCAGTGTGGCCGCAGAAGGGAACTCCGATAATTGGTATTTCCTTCCTATCGCGCGTTCCTGCTCTCCCCGTTTCTACTCTTTCCCTCCTGAAGTTCCGCGAGTAAGCGAGCGAGCGCGCAGTTACGGCGTGGCCCCCCCATAAAATCGCGCGGTTTCTTCATTATCCCGCTCTCTACGCAGCTGCCTTTAAGAAGGCAATCGGGATTTTTTCCGGGCCGAGCCGGTGCAATCGAAGCGGAGAGTCAGTCGTTGTGGCCGGGGAACGAGACGATTGTAGGTGTTTTTTCAGGAGAAACCATCTCTCCGCCGGTGACGTCGGATAATACCGTGGCTGCCCGCAGTTGCAGTTGCACTTGCTGCCGCCGCTCCTCCCCCATTAGTTCGTTTCGCATGCACCTGCTCGCGCAATCCGGCCGTCTCACGCTCCTTTAGCCGAGCGATCACATTTAACCCCTTCAGTCGTCGTGAATTCGCCACGATTCCCCCTCCCTCCCTCCGTCCCTTAGTCCACCTCTTTCTCATTACGTGTCATTATTAGCCCGGGGAATGGCGCATCACGCGAGCCCCGCCGACCGACCGATGCTCCCCCGGCCTTCGGAGAAGGCGCCGCGGTTCTCGCGAAACTCTTCGCGCGGCGGATCGTGCACGAAGGCTGCCCCTCCCGACGATTTTTCAAAACGGCTTTCCGCTCGATCATCCTCTCACGTCTTCGGGGAATCTGCCCGAGCGAAGGCTCTGTGAGTATAGAAGAGCCGAGATGGATCGCCTCGAAGCGTGGCGTTTGTTGGGGATTCTGTGTGTGAGACGGATCCTTCCCGGCGATTTCTTTCCCTTTCGTGTGTAAAATCTTCTCACTGCGGAGTCCCCGGGGATTTATTCTCAATGTCGGCTCACCCGTTCCTCAGCGAACGAGCTTTTGCGCGACACTTTCGCCCGGGTCACTCTCCCGAATGGTGATAATCGTCGTCGTCGTGGCGGGTCTAAGGAGCAAAACCGTGGAAGCGAGACGCGTCGGGGGCCCCGAAACTGTCGAGCTCTTTCTCATGTGGGTTGCCTATGATCGACTATAAACGACTACTACGCATGACGCGATTAGGCGGCCTAACGATCTAGCATTGTTGAATCTAAGCCTATGGCGTAACACATCGCGTCGTCGGTGTCGACGCGATCATGCGACTGTCTCTCTCAGGGATCCGGCAAGTCCGCTGTCAACGTGAGACGCGTGAGATCTTCGCAATTTTCAACGACGTAGCTGAGCAGCATGTAAATCTTGCTCGGACATGAAATTCATTTTTCCGACGAATGTATGTCATGCGTATCATCACGAATTTTGTATGAGCGGATGCAAATGCGTACGTTAATGACGTAATGACGCGATTGCGACGTGGATCGTTAATATTCGTTAAATAGTAATGATCTTCAATACGATTACACGAAATGAAATACTCGCTCAACGCGGAGAGGATATTATAATATAATTTCTTTCTAAATCTTTATTGCCGTGTTTCTCTCAGAGCCTTTCTTAGGTTAGGCATGACAGTATAGAACGATCCGTCCATCGGTTTTGTTTGACAACGTGCGGTTTTGTTTGACAACGCGCCAAAGTGAAGGCCGCTTTTGTGTTAAGGAAAGGTCGCGCTGATCCGGAAATAATTTTCATCGCGAATGCAAAGTCAAAGTTTCCTCAGAGAAAATCTCAAAGTGTTAATTATTTCCGAGTCATAAATAACTAGAAATTTTATTTTGCAAATTTTGCTTCACGGATTTAATTTTAGGTAGATTTTCCGACCTCACTTTTCAACGGGAACCCGTAACAACGTTAAAAATTAAATAAAATAAAAATTCTAATAGTACTAGTAAGTAGCATTAGTAAATAAGTAGTACTAGTTAGTACTAAAAATTAAATAAAGTGAGAAATTAAGTAGTGTGTTAAAGAAAATTGCGTTGGTTTTTATTTTGCAAACTGAGCTTCTGACGAGCATACGGAAGCATCAATATCCGGCATATTTTATTCAAGGTCTCAGTATTTTAATAATAGCAAAAATTAGCCTTCGATGTTACTTAACGCGACGTGGAATAATTAATGATACATATGGCCAATGGTAACTTCGCACAATAATGAGGCACCAGCCGGCGGATTCTTCTCGCCTCGTCTTTTACATTTACAATTCAAATCCAATGCCAGACACGCACAGAGACGGTTGCGCCGGACGTTTACGTCGATTTCGCGTCCACTTTCATTGCGACATCTTAATGATGGCGCCGGGCAACCGACGCGAATCGCGACCGACAACCTGCTGACTGGAGGAAGTTCGCGCTCGCGGCCCGACGTGCTATTATCCGGTCGGAATCGCGATGATTACGATTACGCTCGTGATCGTATACGCGTCACCGTTACTTCTAGAGGGAAAAAGGACTTGGCGCAGCAACCGGCATCGCACGCGTGCGCCTTCTAACGCGAGTTCGCGGTTCCGTTCGTTAGCTACTCGCGAAGTAACAAAAGGTGCAAGACCGTGTGGACTGCGCGAGACGTGTCGACTGCGTATTTCGTGACGAGCGCTTTCAAAATGAAACTTCCCGCTGATTCGGACCATCTCAACTTTACCTCAATAAGAAACTTGATTCCCTAATTTTTTATCCCTAATGTCGTTACATTCCTGTTGAAAGGTGAGATCGGAAGATCTGCCTGGAGTGAAATTCGCAAGGCTCGAATTGCGAAACGAAAAGCACGCTTTTCCAATCGTCCAAAAATAACTTGTGCCTTGAGATTTTCTCCGAGAAAGCTCCGACTCTGAATTCGCGATGAAAATTATTTCTACAGCAGCGCGATCTTAATAGAAACTTGGATTAAATCTGCAACCTTATTTTTCAAACCTCAATGTTTGATATCGTTAAAGTCTCTCGAGAGGTGTCTCAAATAAAATATGCCGGGTTTCGATAGTTATTTGCGCTCGTGGAGCTCAGCTTGCGAAGTAAAATGCGCGGCGTTTCCAGCCGTTCATGACCCGCAAGCAATTAATAGCGCCTCCTCGCCGAGATTTCCGTCAAAGGGACAGCAATATTCCGAATTCCCAACCGAGACCGCTGCCAGAGACCGCGAACGTTACGAGCACACAGCTCGCATGCGCCTCGCGTAAGTAACTGTACTCGAGTCGCCGTGCATAATTTAAGCGCTGAAATTAACACGCCGTATTGCGGAATGTTGCGCGAGCGCGTTGCGTGCGAATTCAAACGAGGCCGCCCGGCGAGAATCCGAGCTCGCCATGCGCGTTTCCGTCTAATCGGCCGATTTGCAAAAATTGAACAGGTCGGAACGGGAGCGCGCGACACACTAAATTACTCGAGCGCGGAGAACTTGGATCTCGCTCGCGGATAGGGACAAAGTGTCCTCTCCTTCTTCGGCCAGATCTCGATTGTCTCATCCGACGAGACACTGTCGCTCGCGCGAATTCCCTTCATATTCGTTCCACATCTGAACTTTCAATCTCGGGTTTCGCGCACGACTCACGTTACTTGGCTGCCGCGTGCATCCCGCTTAACGTCTTGCAATTTGCATAACTTAAGCAAGCGAGTCGAAGATTTACCTGTTGCAACACACAGTACACCCCCGACTGTCCCGTAAATATTAATCGGCGTGTTAATTGTTACGTCGAGACAGCGCGAATCCGCGAGCGCGCAGTAAGCAAAGCGCGTGCGGGAATAACAGTCCTTTGAAGCGACTCTCTCTGATGAGCGTGAGCGAAATGACGGTCCTTTTTGAGCCACGTGTCGCTCCCTGAGAGGCGTCGTACGATCGCCCGGCTATTTCTACGAGAGACTCGCCTATCCTAGGACGACGCTATTCAGTTTAGACGGACTGGACTCGTCTTTCCGAATCGCAGCTCTACGAGATAATGAACGGCGCTAATTTCAACGACGAATCTATGTCTTGGAGGAAAGATTCTCCGCCGTTGAAGAGATTCCCGATCCGCCTCGCGGAGCGGCGCCGATGAATCAAGTGTTATCCTTGTCTCTAAGATTAAACATGTTCTTTTTAACAAAAAAAGAAGAGCATGAGAACACATCATTCGTGAAAACGTACAAGCGAGTCGAAATCGGCCGAGTGGACATTTCTCTCAAGTGTAGATTCGAATTTGTCGAAAAGCGACACACCGAATTACGTCAAAGAAATCTCGAGAGATTGACACTGACTTGGGTGAAACTGCGCGAAGAGAGTCGAGCGCGGGCGAGCTCGCGAATTTCATCGAGCCGACTCAGGCGGGCGCGATCGGTAGCTTTTCAGCGGCGGCGGAGAGAGTACAGGAGGGTGTCTCGAAGTGCCGGGTGTCCGATAATCGAATTTGCTGGTCGACTCACCAAATTGTCCAGATGCAGGTGATGGCCGTAATCCCGGGGGTTGCCTCGCGAGCCACCCGGAGAGCTGTGTCTGCGACCCCGTCCGTTCTCGATCTCGTCATCATAGTCCTGGAAAAGAGGACAGAATCGAGTCTTATCACGGTCGATTTGTCGAGAAGAGACTCGCAGTATTCGACGAGCAGTATCGTGTTATCTCGTGGCTCTTTCCACACGTTTCTATTCTCGCAACAGTGTCGGCGCGTAGCCTGTTGGCGATAAAAACTTCGCGATTCCCGTCAGCGGTTTTCCCTTCGAATAGGCGCGCGTATCCCTTCGAATCCTTTTGTCTACGCGCGCTGTGTGCGTGAGATCTTTCTCTCTCGAGCAAGGCGGCGCCGGCTTTGCGACCTTCGACAATTAACCCCTCATTTGGCAGACCCAAATTTCTGAGCGTTTCAACGGGATGAACCGGGTGTTTCCTTGAACGCAGTTACATTGCTCTCAAAATATCATTTTGAAAACAGATTTCCCGCGACTCTTTTGTCATCCAGCGGCAAGAATCAAAATTTACTTGAGGCATCGACCAACGGAAGGAATAATCAGATGTTGCTTCAGAGCAACGGGACTGGAATGAATGCGTCTGTCGTTCTCGCACATAGCACGTGAAAAAGCAACATTGCCAAATGAAGGGTTAAGAGGTCTTCTCAGCGAAATCAAAATCGATCTAAAAGCGCGAGTGGGAATGCTCACGTCGACTTTCTACGAATTCACGCAACGTGATAACAATATATTCCTTATTACACGATACACCGAGAGAAAAAATATCTATAAGAAACAAAAGATATTTATTCAGTGTGGGTACCAGTAACATATTGCCTTCTACCAATATGAAGTATTTTTTATAAATGAGAAAAGTTTTCTCTCTGAGAAAAGAAAACTTTAATATTCAGATAAGTAAATAAATAAATATGCTGTTAGTACCTGTGCCGAATAAATATTTTTATATATTTTTACATATTTTTCTCACAGACACAACGTCTGACGATACTGGAGGGTTGCATGGAAAGGGTTATGTGGTACAACAAACGATGAGACCGAGAAAAGATCGCCGGCCTCTCTTGATAGAGCGCGAATTATCCGTCGGCAGAATGTCCTCTCCCCCGTAATTAATTAACGAGTCTCCGCTTGAAATTTTCTATTCCCGTCTGATTTCCATACTAATTTCGATCGGCCGCCGCCTCGCCCGAGCTGATCACCGCGCGGCGCTTCGTAAAAGGATACACGCCCGCAGTACCTGATTGTCGCACTCGTCGTCGTTGGAGAGGGCGAGGTCGGAGGTCGTCACTTGGTGCTGCTGCGCCCTCCTGCAGCCCACTCTGCAATTGGCAAAATTTCCATTTCAGAAGCACCCGCCCTGACCCGCCAGCCCCGCCGTGATCGCTCTTATCAAATCGCGCGCGCACCTCTATTTGCCTTATCGGTATCATCGGAAGAGAAAGAGAGATAGATAGAGATAGACAGATAGATAGATAGATAGATAGATAGATAGATAGATAGACAGACGATCTCTCGGACAGAGATTGATTCGCCTCGACCGGAAACAAAGGGGAGAGGTGATCGATACGGAAAGCCACGAGGTTCGCGAAACTGTCGAGAATCCCTCTCTCGAAGTCGGATTCGAAAAATGGCGACCGTCACGAAATTTTCCGCCGGCGATATGAAAGAAAATGAGAGGGAAGAGAGGGAGGGTGAGACAGAAAGAGAGAAGGCGAGCCGACGTAATTTCAAGAGGCTCGTCGTCCTTGACTCGGCGTCCTCGAGGAGACGTTCGGGGTGAGCTTGGTGGCGAAAGGGTCCCACCACGAGTTTCGAGCTATGTCGACCTGCTACCTCTCGTCTCGAGTGTCGTGTGTTCGTTCTAACGAAAGCGCATACTGTGGCAGACGAAATCGCTAGTAGTGAGTGAGTAAGCGCAGCAGCTTTTCAGGGAATTGCGCAGCTCCGTATCCGTGGGACACCGGGTATAATCGTCACGTCGACTTCGAATTAATTAACGTTGTTGCAATTTTGTATCTGGTACGTCGGAAAATCGTACAAGCCTCGTATTTACACCTTGCACAAAATTAGTAATTTTACATGAAATTATATCGAATTCCATCACTTCTCACATTAAGTTGCATTAAACTTTTTTAACTTCAACAAGTTAATTTGACATTAACTTAACTTTTAATCGAGTTAGTTTTTGCTTGCGCAACTTTTAATGTAAACTAAGTTAATTCAAGAGCCGTTAACTTTGAACTTAACTTAGAAAAACCACAATCAGCTTGCCCAGTCCTGAGATCACATTTTGAACAAAGTTCGTCTCGGCGACGCGCGTGAAATCTGCACGCGTATTAAATCTGCATGACACACATCTCAATGTCATGTAATATCAAACCAATACGTCAACGTTAACACGCTTCACTGATGACACGACCTAGCATGGAATTGCTACTTGATACGCGCGTCGAATCATGTCAGATCATGTAAATTAGCACGTAGTCTCGTGGCTGGCGACGCGGGGAGTCGTGCGAGAACGCGGAAACGGAGCTGCGGGATCGGGGCTGGTTGAGAAGATATGAGAGACAGGGGTACATAGTGCTTTCGGCGAATGTTCGATCGCGGGATCGTCGGTTCGCTTCCGTGTGACTCAAGCTGAGAAGCTGAGCGGCGAAGAGACGTGTTTCTCACCCGGAAAAATTGGAGAGCAGCATGGAGCACACGGGGATTACTCCGCGTGAGCGTCCACGGCGACAATCCCCGCGGCCCTTGGCGCTATTTGCACCGCGTCGTCGGCAAGGTAGTTATAGCCGTCCCACTGCGGACGTTCGTGACCAGCAGCGAGTCGAGATCGCAGGTGACGTCGTCGATCGAACCGCCGCGCACTCACCGCGCCGATTTCGCGCGATGTTTGCTCATATCGCGGAATTCTTACCCACGCGAGACTCGATTCTTTCGCTGGTCGCAAGAGAAAAACAATTTTTCACGAATTGTTTCTCGCATGTTCCTTACGCTCAGTCATCTCGGCCGCTGAATTATTTCGTTCAATCGATGCTTCTCATTCGCCTCGAGCGAATTGTTTTTCGGCACGTGGAAGGAGAAGCGAAACGGGTAACTATGCGCATCACACGCGTGGTGTGTCGATTCGAGGCTTGAGCGTCCCTAATTAGCCGCAATTGAGAAAACGCGGAATTATCGGGCAACAAAAGGAACAGCACTTATTTTTAGGCGCGCGCAAACGAAGCGGTGAGCGAGACGGTACGCGTATTTTCGCGAACGAGAGACGGCGGTTGCGAGGCTCGCTCGCGACGAACGTTTCGTTGGCGAAGCGATTACGGTACTGGTGGCTGTCGAAGCACATTTGTTTCATTCTGTTACCCGGGATACGACCTAGTGTGTAAGAAAGCACGGTGGCGGGTGAAAATTTCAAGGGCTCTCGTCGCACCCTGCCCGTTTAAAACTGCGCCGCGAGAACCAGCAGTAGCAGCTGTACGGGGTGTCGCGGAAAACTCGAGGTTGGCAGATCGAGAAAACGCGCTCGTTCTCGAGAAGCTTTAGAATCCCGCGATTAAGGCGATCTCGAGGTCGAGGTATATGTACAAATATGGATGTGCGTGTATGTATGTAAGAAAGAGAAGGCAGTTTGATAGAGTGAAGCTAATTACAAGCCTATTTTCTAAGGAAAATAAAAAAGAAATCAAAACAGAGGCAGAATCCTCTCCAGCGAGCAAAGCGCCGAGATCACGCGAATAGATAGCGCGATGTTAGCCCTCCCGTTATTAATTCCAAGTGGATTTCAGCTTTAATTGGAAATGTAATGGGGATTTTAATGGTCAAGAGACAATTAACGTTGGAGATTAATCCTTTATTTGGACCCCCGAGACCCCCGAGGAAATTTAATTAAGGAAAATATTTTTCGAGAGTATTTAGATAGGTGTAAACGATGTCTCCTGAGTGCAGTTATATTGCTTTCCAAATGCCATTTTGAAAACATACTTTTCATGATTTTCAGTGGCTAAAATCGAAACTGCTGTCACACTGACGAACAGAACTGGATGTTGCTCCAAAGCAACGATGCTAAATAAATGCGTCTTGCATTGATTGTTCTCGCATATAACTTATCTATAGTTAAGAGAGATCGATGTTGCTTGAAAGCAAGATTGCCAAATAAAGAGCTAAAAGTGACGAAGAGGGTGACGACGGTTCTCGCGAGTCGAGAGAATTCCCTCGACGGGGGGTGGCGGTGTATTCTCGTTTGGCGATTTCTCTCTCTCTCTCTCTCTCTCTCTCTCTCTCCACCTGAGACACCCTGTGCACATTTCATGACGTCAGAAGCGGGGAGATCTCCCTCGACTTGTCGACTTTTTCGCGGTGCTTGTCGTCGCGATAAAACAACTCACCTATTTACGGCAAAAGAAACCGCTGGCGTGTTCGTCAACTGAAAAGCGCCTCTTTCCCGTGCCTTTTTGTTAGCGCAACACAATTTCCGATCGCGAGCTCGTTTGCTGATATTGTTGTGCGCCGTGTATACATAATAACGTCCCCGATATCGATCGAATCGGAGACTTCGGGAGGATACAATAGACAGAATTTTATGCGATAGTCGCAAACGAATACGTTGGAAAAAATCGGTGCTATAAAGCTTCAAACATAATATTATCTTTATTTAATAATAATTTATTTTGACTTATTAACGACAAGTTATCACAAGTAACGTGGAATACAAAAGTTTGAATAAAAATTTTGCAAATCGCTGATAACCTCAGTTTCGTGTCTGATCGAAACTTTTGGAGTAAAAAATTATTCTCCATGATATCCTCTTAGTGTTCATTGATTCAAGATTCGCGACTTCGCGTACGACGTACAAGAGAGACAAAGAACACGAATCTCTTCTGACGTAACGGTGGTGAGATGCAAAGTTTCTTCTCTCGTTGTGCCAGAGAAAGAGAGAGAAAGAGAGAGGGAAGTGCTCGGCAAAGAAAGTTCGGTGTCGGCTGGATTCGGCGCGACAAAAGGTATTCGAGGTAGAAAGATTAGGTCGGCGGATGCAGACAGACAGACAGACAGATATATTGAAAGCGCGCGTATTCAAAGGAGATCAAAAGCGAAACGTTTTCGTTGGTCCGTCCATTGTCGGCGGGAGAACGAACGTGAAAGCTATCAAAAGCTCGCGCACGAATTTCATCTTCTGCGGGCACCGGAACGAACGAGATATCTCGCCGCCGCCGCTTCTCGATCGATTCTTGCGCGCGAATCACGCGCGCCATGTGCGCTCCGCGGAGAAAGTCGGCGTGAATTCAAGTAGAACGTGGCGGAAAATTGCAACGCGCTTCATTTTTCTGAACGCACGGAAGTAAGAGATTTTACTGCCGCACCTAATCATGGTTTGCTGAAACTATTTTGTTGCTGTAACGAATAATTCGCTGCTGTAAGCAAAACCTTTGCTACCGTTAATATTATATAGCACTAGCAAAAAATATTATACAGTTTTATGTTTGGTGCCAAAGGGGTAGGGCCGAGACACTGTTACTTCACTGCGATTTTTGGAAAGGTATATTTGTCCCAACACGCGCGGCAATAAGAGTAGAATGATAGTTGATGTGTTTTGAATGCCAGGAGAATGCTGTTTACACAATTGGATAAAGTTATTATTAATGGCGTGGAAAACATGTTCCGTTGGTAGCGGAGGGGTAAAAAATTCACAACGACAGTTCTCGACCACGCGTCAGACGTGGAAAAAGTTTCGGGGAGAAATGGACTTAATTATTTACGCTAATAACGGATCGAGGATCAAGAGTTTGCTCACCACGTCGACGATTTCGCCTCCGACGCCGTGTCCGAGAGCCATAGACAAACGCAACGTTCCACGCCGGTAATAATCGCCGAACGAAAAGCGTTTCCACACTCGCTGTCGCAACGCTCGGTGCCGCTTCCTAGCGTGAAATCGAAAGGCCGGCCGATCGCGAGCGTGTCGCGAAAGGAAACGGGAACGGTGAAAACCACCGCCGAGCGCACACACACACATACACACTCGTTGTCGTCGTCGTCGTCATCGTCGTCTAAATGCACCGCGATTATCGATTTCCCTCCCACGCATCGCCACGTGGAAAAGGCCTTTGTCGCAATTCGCCCTTCGCTCGACCGGCGGTTTAGAGCAATGCGCGCGCTCCACCTTCGCCGTCGCCGTTGGCAGCCGGAAACACGCGTCTTCGTCAACAGAATGGATATTGACACCGGTCTGAGAGAATCCCGTCGAATTCGATCGTCGCCAGGGCCACGCAAATGAGTTTTAAACACGACCAACATGGCGATCACCGGCGAGGCCGGCGCTATAATTCCCCCACGTCTCATTAATTTACGCGTACAATGCGTACTAATTACACCCACTGAATCAAGTATACGGAATCAGTAGGGAGCTGAGGAAATTGACTGACGGATATACGTGTTAGGAAGTGTATTCATTTGCCGAATTCGCAGTTATTCAAACTTCAATTAAGCTGTGAAACGATTCGTGGGACTCGCTGTAGCAGTGAACGTATAATGTATAACGTTAAACATCATGTTCACCACTTTTTCGAATCGGGAAAATTTAACTCTTCGATTCCACTGATCTCAGCACCTTGACCGTCGCGTCAACATCTCTCTCTGCGCGGAGAGAATCTATAATAAAAATTACTATAGAATCTTGTAACTGAGAAGAGAAGAGGAAAAAGAATTTAATATAAAAATGTTTCGGTCTTTAAGTACGGGTATTTAAACTTTCAACATAGAATATACGTACACATTCGATACATGTGTATGTGTTTCACGTCGAAGGTTTAAATATTCAAATATTTAAAGATCCAAGCAATAAGAGAATGTCCAGGATCGGATACGTGTCCACGGGCGTTGGCGCTTTTGCCTCGTGTGAGAAGAACGAGAACTCTATGATGTATTCTCTCCGTGTGTTAATTGTACAGAAGCTGAACTAATGATTGACTTAACAAGGACTTTAGCTAACAAGGCGAATGTGTGCGTAACTCGGGTCGCGTGTATCCTTTGCGCCGTTTGATTGGCCTCTCTATTCCGCCTCGTCGTCTCTCACGGTTCTTCCAACTCGATTATTTGTACTTTGTACGGGATTTCGCGAAACGCGGAGGTACACGGAGATACAGTACCGTTCAACGCGTTAATTTCCGCAGGGGAGATATTAATCGCGGAATGAGCCACAAACTGGGGGATATCCTTCGTATCGCGCTGCGATATTTGCTGTATCGATGTATCACGTACTGTATTGTGAGGTCGGTCGAGTCCGCGCGTTTTATTCTGGACGATTGTCCTGAATGAATGATCGCGCTGAATAATTTGGAAGGGCCGGGCGAGAATGCGCGAGAATAACGTGGAGGCATTTTTACAAATTTACCGCATTAACTCCTTTGAGCGATGCGTCCTCGCTGAAAAGTTCCCGAGCGCGCTTTCGGAATGCATTAACGGACCGCGTCGGGGAGCCCCGCGATGGAAATTCGCGAGATGACTGCAATCTTCGAAAAATCCAACTCGGCGAGGAACAAGAGCGAAAAAGGGAAGAACTAGTTCACGTACTGACGTTCAACGCGCGGCTTTCTTGCTCCGACGTCCGATGTGGTTGTGCGCAGCGAGTGCGCAACGAATTTTCGTCCCGAATTTCGAGCACTCAAAAAGACGTTTCGTTGCCGTTCCGGATAGAATTCTAAATGTCACAGTTAGAATTTATCGCTGCCTCTTGTATCTGCTGGAAAATCGTCGGTGGTACGTGGAATCAACCGCAGCAGCAGCATTCTGGTGATGTCTGCCAGCAAATTGAAGTGTGTGTGTGTGAGGATTGTGCATTCGTACGTCTCTCGTCGCTAGTCTCTTTTGTCTACGACAGTCAATTTTGATGAAAAGTGTGACCGACGTTAATCTGAATAGGCGCCACAGAGAGAGAGAGAGAGAGAGACTTCCTCGCTAAATCTCGCGAATAGTTCAGGCAAGAATTTTGTCTCTCTATCGTCTGAATCGATTAAATACGAAGCACATGCGAGATATCGCGATGTTCACCGGTCACTCATCCATCCTAGCTAATTTCTCGCGATTCTCACCATGCGAGACCATTTTTTGGAGGGAAATAAAACGAGCGAGCATAACGCGGCGTCTCTGAACGACCGGCTCGCGCGACGGTGAAGGTGAGGTGCGTTGAACCTGAACCATTGCTGAAACGCCCTGTACGCACAGCCGGCACACTACTCCGTGTCTGTTTACATACCTGGCTTCAGCTACTAGTTCGAGAATGCCGAGGAGAACGGTTGGAACGTTGGCGGACAAGGAGGAAGGGGGAGAGGAGGCAGCAGGGGGGAAACGACGTAGCAGGAAATGAAATATCGATGTACCTGTGCGTGTATGTATATCCTACGGTGGAGAAACGCCATTACGTTAATCATCCATCCCCTCCTCCCCCTCCCGCCCTGCTATCTCTACTCGGAAGCCCCGCGGATTTCTTTTCCGTTTGTTTGTTTTTCTCGCCCCTTTCCCCTTTTCGTTTCTTTCTTCCTCGGCGAACCTGCGATCTCCGGCTCGAAACGCGAGCTCTCGACCCTTTCGCAACCTGCTCGCGCGGCGAAACCGCGCCGCAATCAGCCGTTTGTCAACCGTGTGTGTTCCGTCGCAGTGCAGAAATGTGCTGCGTGCGCGACCTTCCAATGAATTATCGTGGTGTTACGCAGGATGTGCCGTGAACGCCACCGCCTTTCGCTATTCGCGACGGAAACTTCGATACACGTTTGAACACGCGATTTTTATCGGAGCAAAGACTTGAGCTTTCACTTTTATTTCCTTTTATTTATTTTATTTTTTATTTTTTGACACTCTCGACACATGGAGTAATTTCGGAACTAAGCCTGAAACTAACTTCTGTTAGAGTAAATTTGAACGGCGTTCGTCGAAGTTTCTGTCGTGTTTCTCGGATTAATCTTGCCGAAAAGAGATCAATTCAGCTCGAGAGGCGGCCGAGTCAGATGGGCATCCTGTATAAGTGCTCGTGTTCCTCGCCAAACACCTCCTGAAACGCTAACACCGTGCTCCCGTGATCGTCTCCGGGACGCGTGTCGATCGAGACGATGGACGAATGAAGAGAAAGAAACGGAAGAAAAGGAAAGGAAGAACACTGAGACCTGTGTCGGTAGTTATTACTGGAAACTCGTCCCGAGCGAGACACTCAGATCTGAATTCAGGGTTAGATGGAAGTTTTTTCAGCTGAATCACGACTACACTCACAAGTGTCGCGTGTATCGTAATTCAGCTGAAGCGCTGGGATCGGAACAAAGTCTGACTGTCTCACACGAGAGACGAGTTTCAGGTAGCGACTATTAATACGGGTCTGTTGAGATTTGCGCGTGTCTCAGGGGCGTCGTACGATTAGCGCGTCAGGGCCCAAGAGAAAAAGAGAGAGATAATGCGGTCGACCTGGTCCTGGGCATGTCGGCCCCGAGACCGCTGTCCTCGCTCGGCGACCTATACTCCTGGTTATCCCGCGGCAGAAGTGGGCCCGTCACTCCCAGGGGATCTCCCTCGACGTCCACCAGTCGTCCCGGACGGCAACAACCACCGGGCACACCCCTCTGCGGGAAATCAGATCAGATGTCCTGTCATGCCGTGTGGCCTTTCCGCTTTTTTATTTTTTTATCGCGCGCGAACATACAGAGAACGCTCTCTTTCTTTCTCATGCTTTCCTTGCCGCTTTCCCGTTTTTCTTTCTTTTTTTTTGTTCCCTCAGCGTGTCTCGAACGAGGTGCGATCGGCCGATCGATGATTAGTGTCCGACGACGAGACGTAGTATTCGCCAGTATCGCACTCTCGCGGCTCTCGATCTCCTCAAATGTCAATTAATAACGTCAGCGAGCGAGTGGAGAGTCGCGTTGCTTTCTTTTTTGGAATCTCGCAGGAGCAACGTAATAATTGCGTCGACGGGGCGCAACCGAGCGGGGATGAAATCAATTTAATTGACAGTCGGGGGGCACTCTCGAGCGATCTGGATCGGAGAAACTAGCATTATTGAGTCAAAGTGACGCCAAATGAGATATCCCCACCGAATGCTACTTGCCGTGATCGAGACAACGATTTGCTAAGCTACGAGTTCCGGCGAACTTAATTGGCAAGAAATGCGTGCGCGCTTGTTACTGTGATCAAGACCGCGGTGTATATTGCGCAGGAGAAAAAGAGAACAACGTGCGTTTGTGTTTCCTCAGGAAAGACGTGTTGATCGGCGCGGCTCGTTAATTCCGGGCGTCGATCAGTCGGACTCACGTTTGAGCCATAGGCGAAATTAGCAATCGAACAACCATCTATCATCGATCGACGTGTCGCGCGTCGTTCCGCCGGCAACATTTGTCCCCGTGCTGCAGGTGACACTTGATTTACGACGCCGACCGCGCGCGACGCCTTCCCAACTTCCCCCCGAAGATCGCGAGAATCCAGAACGATCGTTGATACCACGGCGATCGGCGGCGGCGCCGTGAATCAAGCGTCGGGCCTGTCGATCCGCTTCCTGTCGGTCGAATGAGCAGAAGAGGAAGATGATGATGATGAAGAGCTGCTCGCGAAAAACTCGCGTCGTCGCGACACGCGCGCGAAACAATCTCCGCGGTTTACTTTACCCCGAGTGTGTTTTTTGCCCTTTTTTCTCGCTGCGAGATCGTGAAAACGAGCACGGGCTTCGTCCCGATTTCGCCGATGCTGTTTTTCGCGAGAGACAGCGACAGAGAAAGAGGGTGGAAGATGGTGTGTGTGTGTGTGTGTGTGTGTGTGTGTGTGTGTGTATGTGTCTAGCGAGCACAGTAGCTTTCTACTTATTCGTTCGCAGCAGGCATCTAACAGATCGTACTCAGCTAAGAAGGGAGAGAATGCGTGTGCAAGATCGCGCCTCTCGTCGTCGTGACGAGAAATGTTCGTTTTTTCTGTCCGGTTTTTAAAAATGCAAACGTTTGTTGTCGATTGCGGCAAAGAGCGGCAACTCGTACTCGAGTAACAACGGCGCTCATAACGCAATTGCAGTCACAGTGTTTGTGTGTGTATGTGTGTGTTGCAATTATGTTATGATGTGTATTGTAAGATTTCATCGCGATTCTCGCGTATGTGGCATACTAAGTTTACGTTACTCGCGCGCGCGCGCGTAATTTGTATATATTACAAGTGCAACATAAATTCCACCACACACGCGACACGTTCGTTCTGTTACACGTAAATTTTGTTACGTGCGACACGAACCGAAGTATACGGGGTGAAGCACGTGACTAGAACCACTTCGTTTCGAAGTCTTGACGACGGATTGTTACATTTAATGTACAATAAATCAGACAAGGGTCGCTTGAGTGTCGTATTATTTAGCATAGTTGAATTTTCGCTTCAAAATTATATACGCTTTATGTTATGAAACAAAAATTAATTTCCATAAAAAAAACTGAAGGTGATCTTGAAATCTGGTAAGCTACTATCGACAAGAACAATTTGAGTAATGCATTCCGTAGTCCCGTTCGAGTCGTGCAATGTTCATTTGGATCAACTTTCAAAAAAATTGTCATACAACTGTTATGTGCTTCACCCTGAATATAGAAGATGAACAATATATTAATCAATAAGAGAGCTAATATACTGATTAATAAATTACTAAATATAAGCCACATATGCGTATAGTAATTATACAACATAACAAAGTGATACCCGGCGTTTTGCCGTCGATCGTTTGAGATCGATTCCTCCGACTTGGCTGGACGTGTGCTAAGCGTGATTAATCAGACGTGCTCCTTCTCTCAATTAACACTATGAGGGAAAAAGAGAAGTATATGTGCAAATAGATGTCGAAGGAATCGATTCTCGAATTTGCCAACAAACACTGATTAGTCGCAGAGAGCGAGGTTGCGGCAGCAATTGTATAAGCAAAACTACGATAAATAATAGTAATAGCATTAGAAAGAGAGAGAGAGAGAGAGAGAAAGAGAGAGAAGTGAGCAAGAGTCAAGAAAGGAAGAAGAAGAAGTGAGTGTGAGAAAAGTAGATAAAGATAATGCGTAAACTCCAGAGAAAGAGAAAGAGATAGTGACGGACGCGCCGAGAAAAATAAAACCGCTTGGCCGAACGAAGCTCACTCGAGCACCATGTCCGTCGAACAAACGGCATAATCAATTAGTGACAAATTAGCGATTAATTCACTAGCTATGATTACGCGACATCTCGTGGGAGAATATGAGAAATCATAGCGGTGAAACATATGAAAAAAGAAAAAACAGAGCGAAGCACTGTCGCTTCTAGAAGCCGAGTAACAAGAGAGTTTGCGAGTTGAAATTCTGGCTCCACGTTAACCCTGCAAATGTAGTATTAAGGTAACGCGATAATTGATCCGTTTAGTATTATATCTCGAAATTTTGTGGTCCTCCAAATTCACAAGAATTCGCAGGTGAAGTCAAAATTTCGAGTCAGGAAAGGAGACAAAAAAATAGATACTGGCTTCGAGAGCAGTATAATGCGTCTTCTTGCGTTTCTCATAATAGAGCAAAACTTGCAGTTAGCCGGCAACTCTGCCTGTCTTCGGCACTCTTGCGCGGATTTGACGGAATACTAAAGTGTACGGGGACTTATTAGTTATTTCTTAATTTTTCTACTTATTTTTCTCTAATCCTCATGCACATCAATATTTGATGAGATATTTGATAAATTTACGCAAGAGTGCCGAAAACTGACGGAGCGCCGGCTGCTGGACGTCTTATTCTACCGAACTTAATTATTAAGTCTGTTAGATTAGATTCGGTATACACATCGGATCTCCCCCATATTTAATCACACGAAGCGTGTTGGAACTAATATATTTTTCCACATTTCCAAGAAGGAGAGAGAGAAAGAGAGAGAAGTGAAATTCTCAAAGGTACGTTAATAATGAGAGCTTGCACTGTTCTTTCGGGTCCACAGTGATTTCCTAGAAATCTGACGCGCGCAGCAACGAGTGAGTCGAGTGAAACGTCGCCATTTATCAATGTAATTATTAACGCGATGGGAAACAGGAAAAAGAAATCGATCGTCGGCGCGCCATTTGTTCAACGAACTTGATGTTTTCCTCGAATGAGAGGGAGTTCTGTTCGTCCGAGCAGCTGTTGTTCTCTCGCAGCGCGCAGAGAGGAAGACAGAGAGGCATTGACAGAGAGATAGAGAGAAAGAGAGGGAGATAGAGACGAAGGGATTGCAAGTCATCTTCCTAGAGACGAGTCATGCTTCGTCGCGGAGGATAACGACAGAGCAGAACGATCAAACGGAATCGCGAATTGGGTTCGATCGTAACGGCGATCGATGCGCGCACGAGCTGGCCGCGAGTATGCGGACGCGGGGGCCGTCTCTTCCGCGAACGGGCCTCCTGGAGGACCTGGCGATCCTGCCAGGTGTGTTGAATCCTCCGCGGCCGTTCTCCAGAGAGCGTCCTCCTCCGTGTGGCGTTCTCCGTTACCTCCTCGCACCTCTCCAATCGATACTCAATCGCGACTGTATGTCCATCCTTCTTGGCGACCGGCTGCTCTCGCTCGCTCATGCGCTATCTGTGCATCCGTCGCCGATAACGAGCGATAACTCGGTCACCAAATCGACTTCGTCCGCTTCCTACGCTCGATCGCTCTCAGATCGATCCTCGCCGCGGCGAGAGATTGCTCTCTCGGAAATCCGTTATCCGTGCAACAAGATTCGCGTTCTCTCAATTTCGCCGTAATTTCACTTGTTCGTATGGTCGCGGATTTGTGACAATGCAAATTTGGATGTTGCGCCACGAGATCACTTTTCGCAATCCGTCGCATGAGCGTTCGCAACTCTGCGATATTATATCGCGGAATAATTATATGTGCGCAACTGTTATTGCGCGCAATTTCACGCACGTCGGAATTCCATTATCCGAGTTAACGACTCGCGCGAACTATTTTTCATCTCGAGCGAAGTGGATAGAGTCCGCGGTAGAGAAAGAGAGAGATAGAGTATTCCGGCACGCGGGAATGTATTCCGCTTTTTTAATCGCGACGGATTACGTTTGCAACTGCGCCGCAATAAATCACTCGCCGTTAGCATTTATTCGGGATTAACTTTCCGTCAGTCAAACAAGTTAGCCTCGCTCGTTCTCGCCGAAGGGAAACGATGATGCTCTCTAATGGCGCAATTTTCGATTAGGAACGCGCGCCTTTCGACTCTCGGCGAGTTCTCTCGGTGCGGGGGAGTCTTTCTTTTTGTCGCTTTTCCCGCGAAGTCCATCAACAAAGAGGCGGGAACGCAAAGCGATTCCGAGTGTCTCAACAATTAAGGTGAACAAAGATCCACAGAATAGTGAGTGAGGAAAAAAGAGAAAAAGGCAGAGAAAAAAGAGAGAGACAGAGGTAGATAGATAGATAGAGAGACAGAGAGAAAGTCGATTCTATACATCATCGTAGAAAGACGAGAGTGACACGAGCGAAGAACGTGTAGCTGTGTCTGTGCGTGTGTGTATACACGCGTATTACAATGCCCTCAGACGCGTGTGTGATCTTCGGGGTTGATGTGTGTGTATCTCTGTGTAAGCTCGGAGTTATGAATAGAATGTTGTACGGATGAGCCAAACTTACCGGAAGATCGTGCAGCGAGGGAGTCACTATCAAGTCCGAGTGAGCGCGGTCGCCTTTTCTCTGGAAGAAGCAGAAAGAGCCGTCTTAAAGGCGACTACTCCTCTCGGGCTTTGCCTCGACTTCTTCGCCGTTATTCCGCTTAATCGCGCGATTCACACGTCGGCGAAAATAACGCGTTCTTTTGCCTTGACAGGTCAATCCGCGATTTGAAAGATTCACCGCGAGCGTTAGGGCTTTGACGCGCTTCCTCGACCTCCGCGACTCTTAAAAGTTTATTATTACTACAGTAATAGCGGGGTGTAAACGCGCCTTCAGTTTTGCTCCGTCCTCAAATAAGTCCCCCGTTAATAGTAGCGTTAATAGTGGTTACCTGAGACTCTCAGGTCTGGGTCTGGAGTCAGACCTGAATTTCCAAGTTAAATCACGATCACAGTACAATACCACGTGTATCGTATGATTCAACTGAGAAACTCAGATCTAACTGTGAATTTAGATTCGAATACCTCACGTTAAGTAAGTTTCAAGTCGCAATTGTTAAAAGGGATCTTGAGCTTGCACTAACTTATAATTATCACTTGAAGCTTATCTTAAGTGACACGCTCAGATCTGAATTTAAAGTTAGAACAGAATTTTACCGTTAGATTATATGACACAAATAACATTTTTATTTATGATCCTCATTCAACTGACAAACTCACATCTAACTCTAAATTTGAATCTTGATATCTCATTTGAGACATGTTTCAAACAGCGATTATTAATAAAGACCTTAAAGAAGCTCGTTTTATCGGGAGTTTTGACTTTGTTGGATCTCCGACACGCGTTGAAAAATTCAGAGAGTTAAATATCGTTCATCAGGGGTACTTTCCGCTTGATAGTTAGGTGTTTTTAATATTTCGGGATCAAGATTGGTTCGCGGTAAAGACTCACCCTGGCCATGGCTATTCGGGGTCTTCTGTAGACGAGGTAGTCGAAGGCCTTTCTGTCCTCGCTGTCGACAAGCTCCGTGAGCTCCGTCAATAGCGTGCGCTTCTCGTCGGTGTTCAGGAGGTTGTCCAAGCTAATGACCAGGTCCTCCACCGTCAGCCTCCTCGTGCTGTAATCCGCCAGGAGCTGCGAGAGCGCGGCTCTCTCGCTCCGGGCGAGGACGACTCTCGCCTTCTCCTCCACCATAGCGGCGGTATCCGCGGAGACAGTGTGAACGCCACCTCGGTGTCTCCATTCGTTCGTACTGCTCCTTAATTTCCGAGAGAGATCGGACGTGAATTAATTGGTCGATGTTATGTGAAAATGATCGCGAAGTGAGATGAGAAGTAAACATGCAATTGGATCGCAAAACTCCGCGTTTGGAATTTGATTTATTCGAAACTTAATTTATTCGTCGCTCGAGAAAGTTAATTCATTGCGGGATTAAATTATTTGATCGAGAAAGACGTGTCGTGGAGGTTCATGGTGAAAGCGATTTATGCAACTCCCTTCGTGAAGGTTTATCTTAATCAAGAACAAGTTTTGTCGCATGATCGCTCGACGAATATTCTCGGATATTATTCGTTGTAACTATCTTAATTGCAATTACTAATTAAGCGACTAATTATTACTTATCTTTTGAACAGAATTTGATCTGAAGCGAAAGATAAACCAGAAATAATTTGGAATTTCTGTTTGAAGTTTTAAAGTTTATTTTTCTCTTTTTCCTGATCTTCCTTTTTTCGATTAGTGCTAGCAATTGATTTTCAGCAATTATTCTGCCAAATTCTTCGTTACGATCCGAACTATGACAAATCGAATGATAAAAGATATTTGCGACTTACGAAAGATAAACCAGAAATAATTTGGAATTTCTGTTTGAAGTTTTAAGGTTTATTTTTCTCTTTTTCCTGATCTTCCTTTTTTCGATTAGTGCTAGCAATTGATTTTCAGCAATTATTCTGCCAAATTCTTCGTTACGATCCGAACTATGACAAATCGAAGGATAAAAGATATTTGCGACTTACGAAAGATAAACCAGAAATAATTTGGAATTTCTGTTTGAAGTTTTAAGGTTTATTTTTCTCTTTTTCCTGATCTTCCTTTTTTCGATTAGTGCTAGCAATTGATTTTCAGCAATTATTCCGCCAAATTCTTCGTTACGATCCGAACTATGACAAATCGAATGATAAAAGATATTTGCGACTTACGCAGGACTGGGTGGACGATGATTCCCAGGACTCTCCAGGAGTAGAGGATCGTGCTCGGGATATCGGGAGGGTGGGATCACTATGGGCTGGCTGGTGGTACACGAATGGGGCACCTTGCCAACGTCGCGTATCAGCAGACTCATCCTCTTGTTTGTCTTGAGGAACTGAACCGCCTCGTCGTGCGTCGCCTCCTCGAAGCTCTGTCCGTTCACCTCGATAATCTGATCGCCTACCTGCGATCATTTTGGAACGAATCGATTCGATTTTACAATGACATAATACAAAATTGACAGTTCTTACGAGATCATCAAGAGACCAGTATCGAATTAAACTGATTTCAATTCGCTTTTCAATATTCCAAATTCTGAATTAAATTTCAATTTCATCTAATTTTTTACTTAAATTTTAACTTCGTCATAATTAATGTTGTTTCCCTACACGTCTCTTGACCTCGGCTAAAGACCAAGGGCCTGTCAAGGTTGTCTCGCTGAGGGTTGTAGAAAATCGTGATTCTTACGAGGAGACCGGCGCGGTCGGCGACGCTGTCCTTGTCGACGCCCGTCACGTAGATCCCGAGACCATATTCCAGACCGCCGCGTATCATCAGGCCAAGGGATTGGCCGTGCTCGATGCACAGCTCTACCTTACGCGTCCTCGGCCCGTAGCGGGGATCGCGGGGTAGATGAAGGGGCGGCGGCGAGGTCGGGCGACCTTGACGGTCCATCCAGCTGCAAGACTGCTGACGACCCGAGGATGACCACACGGGGTGACCGCCCCGACAGCGAGGATCCAACGCGGGTCCTCGTACCGTCATGCTTAGGGTCTTGCAGGACTTCAGCATCTGTCGAAAAGAACATTGCGAGCTCGAGACGTTGAAGGGTAAATAATGATTTGACTTTCGAAAGAAGCGCAGACATCACGTGTGTATCACTTCTTATTGATCTCCTCAAGGGTTCATGTTGAAAATTTACAGACCGTTTTGAATCATAATGTGACAAGAAGACGATAATGAAAACGTAGAAATCTATAGACACAAACGTATCACGCGTTTTATTTTGATTATTGCGTTGGAAATGGGATTTTTTGGGTCGAATAGTTGAATTAAGGATTTGATAGATGAACGAATAATAGTGAAAGAATTCTAAATGAAACAAGGACAGAATTCTACGTTCCATTGTTGGTTTTTTCAGAAAAGATACGCGACAGGGAAATATAGGTCAGTGAGAAGAAGCGGGACGCGCTCGAAATGGGTCATTTCGTAAAGCAGGTAAGGCAGGCAAAGTTAACGAAGAGCGAACGGTGCGTTTCGCGGTGACGTCACACGGCGGCCAGGATATCGATCCTCCTGGCAGCGCCCGTGACGTCACATCCTACCTATCCTTGACCCAGCCCGGATCCTTAGGATACCGCGGTTTCGAAGACACGGGTCTCCCTTTTTCTCTCGCGGTCTCTCTCGTAACTCGTGGCGAGCGCGGCGAATTTTCCCGGCGGCAGGGAAAACGGCTTTCCCTCTCGTCATAACGCCGGATACCGGAGGAGTAAGGGAGCATGAAACTGTCATTTCATTTCCGCGACGGTGCACCGATGCGTCCCGACGGAGTTGCATTTGGCGGATGCATTTTCGACGATCCTCATGAATACTCTCCTACGAGAAAGAACGAGGAGAAAGAGAGAGAGAGAGAGTCATAAACCGCGCCTCTCTCGTTGCCTCGGTTATCAATTTTTTGCCTTGCAAACTGCTATATGTAAATTGGATACGCTGGTTTATACACGTGGAAGACAGCTGGAAAGGGAATTTCCAAAATTTCATCAGTGCTCTTTTGTGAATTTTTTAACACATCTCTCGCACGCTCGATATCTCATAAATGATTATTTTGTAAGAAAGCCGTCATTTTTTTCCGTTCTAACACTATTTTTCCCCGGTTATTGACTGACACTATTATGAAAATTATAATAAAACATAGTGACCATAAACATGATAATTTTTACTACATGGTAATTTTTATTGTGTTCATAGTCACTTTTACTATATCTTCTTATAATTTTCATTATGCCAATCTATTCCCGGAGTTGTATTGTAATTTTTACTACAATATTCTCTCCGTGTACGACAGTTAATGGAGTGCTTCTTCGCCTTTAATTCTCCATTACCTAATTTACCTGATTGGACACGAATACAATTCCCAGGTTATCATCTACGTCGAGACCGACAACGATCGCTGTTAGCCGATCACAACGTCAGGGTCGACGTGTCCGCGAAGCTCCCAAGATCCCCCCATTTCTCTTTCGGGGAAGCCTTATCGCGGAAGTAGTATCGCGTACGAGGGAAATTAATGTCAGACACAGCGAGAGTACCGACGAGAATAGATGAAGGGCCAAGGGAAAGTGGCGCTTTCGTGATCGACGTCCGTCTCTGGCCGGCCAATTAAATAAATAATTCATGGGGGAGGGAACATCGACCGTCGAGGCGGCGGGGGTCTTTCGGCGTCGAACCGGACGCGGCTATCGTTATCGCGCCGGCCAGGGCCCCGTCGCTATTTCCGGCGTCCACGTCACCCACGTCGGTTCGTGAGACAGACAGACAGATAGACAGACAGAGAGAGAGAGAGAGAGAGAGAGAGAGAGGTTCGCGTGCACGGCGTATCGCCGTATTTTCGATTGTCCGAGGGCGACCAAGTCCACGTCGCAGTTGGTCCGCGAGTTATGGTGCCATCCGGCGGATATCGTCCCGATCGCTCTCGCCGACGAGAAATCTGCGCTTTTTGGGTCAATCGCGGAACGGATCGACTTCTCCCCTCTTCCTGTCACCCTCTCTCTCTCTCTCTCTCTCTCTCTCTCTCTCTCTCTCTCTCTCTCTCTCTCTC